GCATCAAGGAACGCCTCTGTACAGAAACCGATAGTCAATAAACTTGCGTGAATTAAATCCTGCGGTAGTCGCTGTCGCCGCCCCTATCCCAGGTAAACTCCTTGAATGGACTGACCGAAACCGGAGGCCCTGAGGTACGAAAGGTATACGTAGCAATGGCACGCGCCATCGAAACTTAAATCATAGGACAAGAGGTTAAAAGAAAACCAAAAAGGTCAAAGTTATGTAATTAGTACGTTCAAGTAAGAATTTGCGCCTCTTTGATGTGTAAGAAATTCAACGAAAGATTGTAGAAAATTGAACCTATCTGACCGCGTAAATGAAGGGATGGTGTATATGCCAATTTAGTTTCTATTGATGATTTCAATTTGGAAGGTCTTTGTGTAAGTAGTTCTATCTGAATGCACCGGAAGGGAGAAAATTTGCTACGTTCAACTTAGGTTGTTCTAGTGTTAATCGGGAATGGCGATCTTCTCGTCAAGGTTCATTTCGAGGATTTATTAATTTCGAAGCAGGTAGCCGGAAAATCGAGAGCTAAGGTAAGATAATGAGAAACCGTAAAGTTGCAACCGTTTGAAGAACTACAGTTAAAGGCGAAAGTTGTCGAAGTTACTTGGCTTTGAAAGCGAATCGAGTAATTAATTTGAGAGAGGAAATAAATTTGAATTTAATGTGTGTATGTGTGTTGTGTAGGTTTGCTTTGACACGCACGTCCAAAGAATGAAATTTATTTTGTACAAAAATTCATCTATACTCATTTTTCTGTGATCGATATTTTTAGCAAGAATCACACTCCCTTTGCTAATATTATCATGTATTATATAGGATTGTCACTTTCGGATGATATTTGGATTTTTTTTAGACTACAATCCACTATTCTTTGTAATAAATCTTCTCACAAGAAATTTCAAACTAGTTATACAATCTAAAAAAATTGGAATTCTTCGAGACTTCTGTAATTTTCATTTATAATTTGTAGAAACGTTTTTCAACCATGTATTTTTTCATATTTGCTGAATTTTTGAATATTGTATTGTAGTATCGTAACTTTGAGAAAGAGTAGTTTTAAGCAAATGTGGCGAGCATGAGAGGGAAAGCGGGCGACGAGCGACGATAGCCAGGCCCAACGAGAGGCCCACAAAGGGCCTGGCTATACAGTACGGCGTGCGAGGGATGAAGGGACAGTGTGTTTGGAAAAGTCGAGAAGCGTGTGTCATAGTATTACAGTTATTCTTATATTTTGTAAAATAAATATCTGTTTATATTTCTGATCCCGCATATTTATTGGATATTTATATAAAGTTAAAAAAAAAGACTGTTTCTTGGTGTGGTGAGATTTCGATTTACCTCGATTTATCCTCGTTATGCACTCGATTTTCTATGTAACCCCATAAGAAATAGTTGAAAAGTCAGCTGAATGATCAACAGATTTGCAGGTTTCCTATTTCCCTCCAATTGTCGTAATTTTTGCTTATAAAGATACGTTTAAAAATTCGGAAAAATGAATTTGACAATTCAAATTGTTAGTCAGAATATTTATCTTATTTAATCGAACAACTTTTCGCTGACACATTTTTGTATCGCTGGAGGCGGCAGAAATATGGAACCGGATAAAGCAAACAAAAACACCTCATATAAATCTTCTTAATGAGAAATTGAGCTATAAAATTATTCAAATTTTATGCGATATTAATGCAAAAAAAATCGCGGCAGAAAATTTTGCATGGTTTAATGAACACCGCTATGCTATGACACGATTTTTTTCGCGAGCGCGTCGATGCATTCTTCTTTTTTTTTTACATAAATCTGCGCCCACAGTCGTGCAGCGTATAGGAGATGCAAGACGAGGTCAACGAATACAATACTTCACAAGATGTTTCATTTTTTTATTTTTTTTTTTGAAAATTATTTGAAGTATTCAAACGTTTCAATTGCATATTTTGTATTTTCTATATTTTATTTGCAAAAATAAAACGTATTTGCGCCCTTTTATTTCGAAAGATGATTTTAAAAAATGAATTAAGATTAATTGTTCATAAGAAATTGTCACGAAAAATTTCAAGAAGTGTATAAACAATTTAAAAGAATCGTGAGTTACGATGATAGTGATCGTTAAATCATGCAAAAATTATTTTCTACGATTTCTTTCTAACCTCGCTTAGAACAGAACTGTAACTCAGCCTAGTTACTAAAATCTCTGTATTGTTCTGTGTAAATTATTCTAAGTTACTGTAAATGACAAAATTTATAAACATGTTTGATTTAGAAATCCATATCTAAGAAAGTTCTTTTTCATGACGAAACAATATCTGTAATGCATAGATGGTAGAAAAGGCCATTGCACATAAGGGCTTTGCTGTAAAATATCAATGGCTGCTTTTATTGGATCAGTATTTAAAAAGAATTTTAATAAATTTTGATAAATGGTCAGTACTTAAAATATAAGTAGTCAGTATTACATTGATTAATACAAAAACTGTTAGTATTTTCATTAAAATATTGGTAAACATAATAATTTGTCGGTATATTAAATAAGCTAACCTAACCTAACCAAAAATTTGAATCTTATTGACCAAGAAACAAATTAATACCGACCAAATAAACCAAATTTTACTGACAAAATGCGATTTAATACTGACAATTGATTATTTATACTGCCCAAAATATTCATTTTTCCTGATTATTTATTTTAAAAAATACTTACCAAAGAAATAGAAGTGAATATCAATTTGACGAAATCAAGGAAAAAAATTGTTCAAAGAACTTTCGAAACGGAACTTTTCGAAAGAGATTTTAATAAAACTAGTTGATACTTCGTGCTACTCTAAAAAATGAAACGCAGCAAAGATACAAAAAATTTCACTAGAATATGAATACATCTTAAATAATAAAAATAAAAAGATATTTCTATTACATAAATATTGCATCGTGTGAAACTTTTAACGCAAAGTTTAACTTTTGTTTAACCCTTACTGTTTGCATATAAAGTATCAAGAATACTAATAACATATTAGTTTGAATACGTTGGAACAAATAAAACTCGATGAAAAATTCCAAAAAGTCCAATTGTTACAATTATTAATTTTTTCTCGAAGTTATAGCATTTCGAAAATGGAAGAAAATAGAGTACATTTCCGATACTTGATGTTTCTCTTTTACCAAAAAGGAAAAACTGTCTTTGAAACAGCAAAAGATACGTTATACTTTTATTAAACTAAAATGGAAAAATGCCTCTGAAACAACAAATGAAATATGTTAAACAAGATGCACCGAAAATCGTGGTACAAACCGAAAGTGGGTGATTCCCCGTGCGAAACTTAATCGAAAATATAGAATGACAATTTTTGATACAAGGCTTCGTTTCCCAGAAAATCAATTATAAAGTTCCGCCAAGTACGCGTGCACGCAAAAGGTCACGAGACTCGGTTGAACGGGTTCCTTCGCACTTAGGTACTCCGTTCGTATCTGTAAACAATATCCTGATTTGTAGCAATGTCATGGTTTGTCTCTTCTCATTCTTATTTCCTCTAACTAACCTTTGAATTAAAGTAATCGTGAATACGCAGACATGATTCTTGCACTTGGTGCTCCTAGTCAGGGCCGTATTTATACTTTTGGAGGCCCTAGGGGCAACATGAAGGCTCAAAAGAACAAGTTTATTTCAGTTAATCAAATTTGTACAAATTCTTTTTTAAGTTTATTGAAACTAAAAGACGAGATTTCCATAATAACTCATTTTAACAAAATAAAAATAACACAAAATTAATATACATATATTTGGATTAACACGTTCGCTACGTTCGCTATATCTGATAAACTAACTCCCATGATAAAACAGTATTATCTACATATGATACATCAGAAAAAATGCACAGTTTGAGTATTTACTAAATATTAGGTGTAAAACTGAAGAAAATATAAATATTAAAAATGTAAGTCAAAGTAGTTCGAAGGATAGTGGGCGATGCTTGAACAGAATCGTGGTAACAAACGTGTTGAAAAAAGTATAAAAATAAATCAGTTCAAATTTACCCTGGCGACCAAATGTTTTATCGTCCGGGAAAGTCATTGCACTTTAGATACTCGAAGGACTGCATAAGATTTCCTGAGACTCTCCTAGACGACACTTAACATTTGGTCTGCAAAAGTTCCCGTCGACGTCGCCATCTTGATGAACAGCGGGTCCTCATACATTTGGCGTTTCCGTTTTCAGCGGCTTCTTGTTTTTATATTACGAATTTAATATTTGAAAATAAGTGAGAGGAAGTGGTGAGCGGTAGAAAGGTTGAGAGGGTAGAGAAATGGTTAAGTGGAGCACATAAGAAGAAAAATGAAAAGGAAAAAGAGAGGGCTATGATATGGTAGGAGGACGATAAAACTAAAGAGAAAAAGTGCAATAGAAAGGAAAAAGAAACGAAAAGAAAAAAAAAAGAATGTAATAAGAGAAGGAGAGTAGGAATAAGTTAGGTTAGGTTAGATAAAATTATTAATAAGAATATACACAGTTAGGAAATAGGTAACCAAAGAATGAGTATGAATGACGAAACAAAATGAAGCATGAATGAGTAAGGAAATAACGTATTGTAAACCAATTCCTCTTCACAGCCATGAAGCTGAAAGTAAATAAATAAACAATAATAATATTTAAAAATAAGTATTTTATTTTACAACTATAACTAGACTGTTTCTTATACTGTTTTTAAGGAGCAAGGTTTTAAAGTGTAGCCCCAGTTTGCGTCTAATGCGCCTTGTGGTACATACGGCCCTGCTTGTAGTGGAAATGCTTCTGCTGCAGCCTCACCCTGTGCAGTGCGATTTCCTAATCGACGAGTGATACAAAGAACAGAGCGGACACTAGCTGAATATGGTCCTTTTAGCTCATATCGTGAAAATCGTGGTTTATTGTTTAAATGAAAATTAAAAACTCTCTAATTTTTTTCATCATTCCGGTCAATTGCAATTTTCTCAAAATTTTTCGTACACGTCATCTATAATAGTAAACTAATACTTCTAACTTCTCAAAAAATAAAATCAAGTCGTTTGGTCAATTTAAAAAAAATTAGACTGTTTTAAAGGGTGTTCCAATATTGATTCGTGTAACTGTAAATGTATCATTGGAGCTTAGCGTAGCAATTAAATCCGAACCAAATCGTAACATTGTTTACAAATACGGACAGAGCGCCTAAGTGCGAAGGAACCCGTTCAACCTACTCTCGTTACCTCTCAAGTGCTCGCGTACTCGGCGGAACTTCGTAATCGATTTTCTAGAAAAGGAAGCCTTGTATCAAAAATCGTCATTCTACATTTTCGACTTACCTTTGCACGGGAGAAACGCCCCCTTTCTACTTGCACCGCGATTTCCAATAAACACTGTATTTAAGAAGAAATTAGTCTGTCAAAAAAAATTCTTCACAAATACTTTGCAAAATTTACAATTGAAAATTTCGATCTCGGAGAATGTACAAAAGAAGCAAAATTTTTGACAAAATGGAATGTCCAAATTATTGGGAAGACAGGGGGAAATTTGTAGAAGAAAACGGTACATATTTTATAGAATAAGGAAATTGTTACTTTAAAATATAAAATTTACTTACAAATTTTCCGGACAACCCAGTAAATAATAGGATTTGTCAAATATTCCTGATACACCTTTTCGCGGAAAATACATATTCACGAAAACAGTGGAAGATTAAAGCACGAGGCTGCGGCTTAAATGAAAAAATTTTAACGCGAGACACAAAGGAAATCTTACTTACAATGCTGGCCGCTGTTCCAGCCGCACATTTGAAACACGCTCCTGCCATTTCTGATTTCCATGATGTCATCGTCACATACGCCCGTCCTAGAGTTAGGTTGACCCTACAACGATCGATAGGTCTCTTGAATGAACAAGCTGTGCAGTAAATGCGGCCGATTTTTATCAACCGACCAATACACACATCCACACATACGTATGTGTAACACGTTATTCGACACTTGCAAGTGGCCAGTAGACTGTGGTCACCTTTGATCCGCCGCCTCCTTCGGCAACTTCACACAAATTAATTAGCGCCCAAGTGTGTGCTTTCCGCGTCTTAAGGACGTATTCTGCTTTGGAATTTTCAAAAAGTCGAATTCTTTTTTTGCAGTTTCTTAAATTGTACGTGTTCGAAAATATGTCTGCAAAAGGATTAGTATGAATTCTACTTTATGGTTCTGAACTAGTAGATTTAAAGTTAAAGGTAATTCTTTAAAAATTTAAAGGGAAATCTTTGAACGTGTTTTTCACAAAACCTCATTTCTTGAAATGGCTGACAGGATATTTAATGTTCTAAATCTTGACTTAAAATTTTGAGAGAATCTGCAACACATGTGTCGTTATCGCATGAATCAAAATTTTTTTAATTCGTGGTCCTTTTCTTACTTTTTTAGCATGGTGATGACAAAAACATATTTAAGAAATTAATACTCCAAATTCAAAGTGTCGACGTTTTTTTAATAATCTAGATTTTTACTTTATTTTGGTTCACATGATAGCTACATTTATACCGATCAAGATGCTTCTTGATTTTTTTGTTTTCGATTAGCAGAATGACCGGAAACGTGTCAGCCAGTAAGACACGTTTTTTTAAAGGGACTTCATAAAATCAAGTACGACTCGTGCAATTTTGATTATTTTCACTTTCAAAAAAAATAATTTATATACTTTAAGTATCGACAAGTGTGCGTGCAAAAGACTTTTACGAAATGTATTATTGTTGCCCTGGAAAGAAATCCTAAAGATGACCTAATAAATGGCATTCTAGACCAGAATACCCCTTTAAATAAAATGACACGCGAGAGACTTGTGAGAATGCTTAATATTCATATTTTCCCTTTTCTCCTTTTCTAACAGGAACGAGAGAAACAATTAAAACATTTTCAATCGCTTTAATCGACTCGACGCGGAAAAATACGTTTCAACTACTAGTGATATTAACTGCTTTTGAAATTTTTTGTATAACTCACAAATGTCCGAAAAATTGAAACTTTTAACGAGTTTGAGGGAGCGGCTTAAACAAATAATAATTAGTTATGTATAAGTACGTAATTTTACCGATGACTCTTTCGTTAACTTTGTTACTTTGTTGTTAATCGATTAATAGCACTTTATGACATAAAATACGAAGAGATCCTTTGTCTTATAGTATAGAAAAAGAAACTTGATATTTCTTTGGAAAAGATAAGGGAAAATTTAAGTAAAAAACTTTAGTAAAATTTTAATTTTTGCTTTAGAA